AAGTCTGACACTCATCCTTGTGACAATTGTGCGAACTTCCTCAAGCAACCCGAACTCTAGCACATACATTCCACTGGATAGAAGGAAAACTCTTCATAGAACACCATAAGGATCATACAACCTCAGACATTCTCGCAGGAGATAACCTAACCGCGTAGCCTCAAACCAATATCTCTCTATGACCCTACCATGGTCACAACCACTATGCAATCACTTAATCTTCCCGAGTCTATATTCATCAATAAGACATAAAAATCTACTTCATTACTCAAATGAACAACTGAAAGATCCACCAACACATCCATATCTTAAGACTATACAACATATCAAGACAAAAACCAAGCAGCCATAACCCGTTTCATACCAAGAAAATCCTTCCCTTAACATCTAGCCATATAGGCGCAGTCCTCAGTCACATAATACTCATCACACAGCTATATGGCCACTCACTTTGCCATCAATCCCCCTCCTAGAAATATTATCGGACGTAAAAGTTCAAAGGCACATACCCACACAACTGAAACTACCGAGCCCAAGTTGTGGTCTAAACTTGGCTTCAAGCCCTACAGACTGGCCTATCTTCACAATACAAAAACACACCTTGCTCCTCATCCATGACATCATAAGTCGTCGGTGCACAACTAATACCGAGTATTCAACATCACATACGAGTGAATGGAAAGAAATCGAAGTATAAGCTCCAAGATTAATCAATATCGCACGATAAGGAAAGAAAGAAGGTGGAGTTTTGTAGATGCCGTATAGCCTTCGAAGATATGTATGGACATCATCATACCGATCCGCAAGACTCTACTAGACATTTGCTCATGACTCGTAAAACATATAAACCTAAAGCACTGATACCAACTTGTCATGACCCGAAATTCCACCTAGTCGTGATGGAACTAACCCCAACATGCTAGGTAAGTCAAACAAAGAATAATATAACTCAAGTGAAAGGTCATCAATAACAATAAATAGAATAGCTGAATTCTATACAACATCCCAAAGATTGGTAGTACAAGTGATGAGCCACTATGATTTTTGGATTAGCAACTTGTACAAAAATAAATACAATATTTGTTTGAAATACACATGAACGGATGCAAACTTCCTAAACAGCCAAGAACAAGTGGTAGCTATATCCGAAAAACAGGTACAACTTTAATGCTAGCCTCATTCATTCACAGCAACTCAGCTCCAAAATCTGCACGCAAGGTGTAGAAGTGTAGTACAAGTATGACCTACCCCATTTACTCAGTAAGTATCCTGACTGGCCTCGGTGAAGTAGTGACGAGTTCTCTGGTCAAGGATACTCACTTTACATAACTTGTACAACTCAATAATATATGCATGCACCCAGCAACAATATCAAATTTAAGCATGAAATACATGTACAACCAAACAGTGCACATAGAGGAGATGTGCGCAAGTCTCTTGGCAGTTCAGCATATAAAGAAGATATGCATTTAATATTAGATAATACGTCAACAATTTCATATAAAGAAGATATGCACAGGTGTTGTTCCAGTTTAATAGCTCAACATATACAGAAGATATGCGTCTAACATCATTAAATCATCAAAGCTTGCATATAGAGAAGATATATGTAAAATGTCAAATAATCCTTCAACAGTTCCATATAAGAGAAGATATGCATGAAATATCAAGTCAAGTCACATAGATCCATATGTAGAGAAGTTATGTACCGTGAATATCCTATCATGTAAGGCAACATATATAGAAGATATGCATAAAGGTATGTATACATTCCGGAGCTAGAATATAGAGAAGATATGCAGTAAAATCATGTATACATCTAAGGAGTTTGTTAATAGAGAAGAGATGCAAAGTCTAACCAAGGATCAATTTTCCAAAATTATGTCAACCAGGAACCTGTCGGTTTCTTACAACCTACGTGCACCTCATTAAGAGAGAAACATGAGAGGGTGACCCTAGGGGGGTGGATCCTTATCCACACGCTGCACAAACAACTCACATGCCATAATCATACGAACAACTCATGTGCCTTAATAACCAGTCCATCACACGGAAAACATGTACAAGAATATATGTGTATGAATAACGGATATCAAATGACATACTCATGGACTGAAGAAGATAGCATACTATGGTGTATGCGTATATGAGTGAACAACTACAACTTAGATCAGGCGGATACACTATACAATAAAGAATATCATGCTCAAACAGAGAATCAACACCTAGCCATGATCTCTGGCGTGATTCACGAAGTTCACGTAGTCATACAAATATATAAAGCATGATAGCAAGAAGCACAGTATCCAAATCAAGACATAGTACAGCCTAAAGACTACTCCGATCATGAATCATACATAACACCCGTATATATACTCGTCACCTCGCATATACGTCGCATCTCACATATTTCAATTAAGCAAACATATTCTATCCTAAGGGTTATTCCATCAACAAGATTAGGCATGATACTTACCTCATCAAGGCTAGCCTTCAACCACAATTCGCTTAGAAATCTCTCTCTATTCCTCCAATCACGCAAATCTAAGCCAATCATTAGTTAAGAAAGTCAAACAATGATGTAGAAAGCGATCCCAATACATAAAGCTTCGATCTTTGAAGAATTCTCGAAAGTCAACAAAAGTCTACCCGGGCCCGCGTGCCCAAAATCCGGAACCAATACCAAAATTCGATGACCCATAACTTGCCGAGTCCAAATATATGATTAAATTCTAAAACTAAGTCCAAATCTGTATTCAAATTCTCAAAATATACTCTCGTAAAGTGTAGTCAAAACCCCAAATTCCATGTTTTGGGTGTTAATAATTCATGTAGGTTCTTTAAATAATACCAAAATTGAGTAAAATAACTTACCTAAAGTCTTGTGTAAAAATCTCCATTAAAAATCGCCCTCTCCAAGCCTAGGGTTCAAAATATGAGAAATGAGCTCAAAATTCCGAAATATAGAACTTAAATCACTGACCGAAGTAACTCTTCGAGATCGCGGCCAAAGCCACGCGATCGTGATGCACAATCAGCGTCCAGAATGACAAGCGGGAACGCAACTTAGTCAACACGAACGTGAAGGCCAACGAGCCTCAACTCTCCGCGAACGCGGGTCTCCAAACGCAAACGTGATAGCCTGCCTCGCCCAACCAACTCCTCCTCGTGATTGCAGCGTCACATACGCGATCACATTTCACCCCTTCCAGCTCCCTTCCGTGATCACATGGGTACAAATTGCAATCATGATATACATAATCTCCACCATCGCTAAAACCCTCTACGACCGTGTCAAGACCTTCGCGATTGGGGTGCACACCTGATCACGAGAAACCAACAACCTCAAAGTGGTTCAAAACGATTCGAAACTACCCCAAATAACACACAACCCCTCAGGACCCCGTCCAATCATGCCAATAATTAGAAATACATTATCTAAACGTATCCAAAGGCTCGAAGCACCACAAATAATATCAAAACCGCGAATCGAAGATCAAATCATTCTGTTAACTTCTAAACCTTCGCCGGGAGGAATTATTTGAAATTTCGGAGAGTTTTGGGACACTTAGTCCCTAAATGAGAGCTTAAGTGTTGGAAATTTGACCGTAGTTGGAACAGTGTGAAGACGGCCTCAGAATGGAATTCCGATGGTTCCGTTCGCTCCGTTGAGTGATTTCGGGCTTAGGGGCGTGATCGGACTCCGCCAAATGCGTATGAATTACACTTAAACATTCTGGATCACAACCAAACTTTGCACACAAGTTCCGATCTACTAAATGAACCTACACAAGGTCTCAAAACCACAATAGGAGTCTGATAATACTAAGCCAACTTCCGGTCAAATGTATAAATTCTTCAATTTGCCAATTTTCGAGAAATAGAGCCAAAACCTTCTAGGAATATCCAAATTTAAAACCGAACATACGTCCATGTCCAAAATCACCATACGAACCTAAAACCATCAAATCCCGATTCTAATATCGTTTACTCAAAAGTTAAACTTTGATCAACTCTTCTAACTTAAAGCTTCCAAATTGAGAATTACTTTATCAAACCAATCCTGAACTTCCCGAAAATCAAAACCATCCAGACACACAAGTCATTATACATCATCTAAAGCTACTCAATAATCTCAAACCACCGAACGAAATGCTAACGCTCAAAACGACCATCGGATCGTTACAATACTCTACAACAATTTGGAGTATACCCATGAATAATTGAAAATGTTCAAATATATTCCTTTTTGACTTCTACTACAACAGAAAAATCAGACCAATTTTTTTACCGTGATAAATCGTTAGTAGGAATATATTCGAGACGTCTTTATGAGTCAGAAAGATAACAGACGGCAATCCATAAGGCAAATTGCAAGCCTCAAGGGAATATTTGGACGTTTTCAGATACATTTCTGCAAACTTGGAGCACATAATTTCTTTTCTTTTCTTTTCTGGACAGCACATAATTTCTTGCAAACTTTAGATAAGCTACACGCTAATTGACAAATTTAAGAGATAACCGGCTGATGTAAAGCGAGCAAATGTGATAAATCCTTCCTGCCTCTCATACGAACCGAATTAAATTAATACATGCATGGTACATATGATTTTTTCATATAATTGTTTGTTCTTCAGACATATTTAAAGCAGTCACATGATGTCTAATACAATTTCTAGAAAACTATTATTCACTTATTTTTATATTTCATGTAAGTTGCAATAAGACGTACATTAGGTTACGAAAAATAACAATTTCAAAAATTAATGTACATGACTTGAAAAATCATAGCGATGGTCCCTAATCAAATAAGAAAGTTAAGCAGCAGAAAAAATGACTCCTATGTTGTCACTTATGTTGCTCAAAAATTTGATGCAGACATCACGGATGGCCAAGTTTTCTTTTTCCCCTTCGACAATGCATGTTGAAATTGCCAAACCAACCCCCGTCTTTTTATGTGTAATTCATAGAGGGATTAGTGAAGATTATGTAAAGCAACATAGGCTTAACAAAGTCGATTCAATTCAACTGCTTCACTAACAAATGGAATGAACATCCAACCACCAATAGCCACACATTATACACACACAAGGTCACATTTGTAGTCTCTGCCCAAGGAAACCACCCTTGTTTTCTTGTTCACTTCTGGAGCTAGCGTTGTATACATCCCTCCACTCCTTATATTGACATTTGAACCGGTGCACAACACTTTATGAGACATACCTAACTAGCAAAGTGTAACAAAATATACACCTAAATCTATTACTACCTCTGTCTATACTACTGGTTTACTAAGCTGTGCCAGAACCACTTGTAGGGGGAAATGAACACACCCAAACCAGCCAACGGAGTTCTCAGATTATTGTGTCAAGGTAGGAATAATTGTGGCGGCGTCCAAACTCAAGGAGGCTACCATATGTACGATCCCAAACTCCAACGAACAGTGACTCTGTATCAGGACTGAAAGACATGCCGGATATCTCACCGAAAAAATCAATTTCTTGCTCCTCCTCATACCCACTTTTTACATCAAAAACATGGACGAAATCCGCAGGCTCGGCCATAGCCATATATCTTCCATCAGATGTGTAGCGGATCGACCGAATAGCTCCAAGGTTACCCTTCAAAGCAGTGACTGACTTGGATAAGTTCCGTAAATCCCATATTCTGCAGGTTTTATCTTGGTTCCCAGTTGCAAAAGTTATGCCATCAGGATGCCATGCTGATGCAAATGAGTAGTCTACATGTCCACACAAAGGAGCGACAGTCTGCGAGTTTCATTATCCGACAGCTATCAGACATTGAATGTCGATGATCTGTATATCAAGAGGGAGAAATAATGTGCACGTACCTTTCCGTTCCTCGAGTCAACTAATATACCTTCAGGATCATCCCCAACTACTACGAGAAGCTTACCATCAGGGCTCAGTGACGTATGCTAAGATCATAAAATAGGAAAACAAAGTAAACAACGTCAATATCCAAAATGAAGACAATAGCCTTATAAAAAGAGTTGATCAAGATAGAAAATATATTATTCCACGTAAGTAAAAACAGTATAAAATGTAGTTAAAGAACCTAGATAAAAGTATCTAAGGAAAGGGCATAGGTTTTCTTTACTCAAATAGAAAGGGCATGGGTTTTCTTCATGCAACATGAAACATCATGACACAGCCTTGATCCTAAAGACCAGTCAGCAACATTACAATTCCAAAGTAAAAAATTTATAATAAAAAATCCTACCAATGCTGCATCACAATCCACATGAATAATAGCAGACAACATCTAGTAACAGAAATGCTGCGTAAACGCAGGATTTGGAGGGAAAAAAATTCTTGAGGAATACCCATCGTCAGAGATGCATTTAGAGGCATTCATGATCCTATAAACAAACGTGTGCAGAGAGGAGACAAGGCACAAACTTACATTTACTGGCCAGGAAAAGCGAAAATGCTTGGACAACTGAAATTTCTCCATATCAAAATCTCTAACTCCACAATCGTTATTTGAAGCAATAAAATGTAGTGCGCCACTGAGAAGCAAAAGATATCTTAATTAGCTTCATTGTCATTAAGAATAGTGAATTTAAGCAATATGCCGTATAAACACAATACCTGGCAGTGTTATAAATGTCAACAGCATTAGTAATGGCATTATCATCATATGTAGTCCTGGAGCAGAAACAAACTCCGGGCCTATCTAGATACTGCATATTTCAAGAACATTAATTCCACGTTAAATTAGTTTTCACTTTCTGAAGGTGAAGATCAAAACAGTAAACCCAGAAGGAAATGAATTTTTTCCACATTGTTATATCATATCTTTACGTTCTACAAGAAACATTCTTCTTAAATTCTAAGTAATATTTACTATCAGATAAATGTGTTAAAATGCAACATACAACAACAATGTTACAATTTGATAATATGTGGGTCTGTCAAGTGGCAACCATATATCGACTTAAACCAATTCACATCTATCGTAAACCTAATCCTAGCATAAAAGAAACAAGTACACAAACAAAAAGCGAAGAATAAATGCTGCCACTGTGAATGGCAAAAGCTAATCCAAGAAAAACCAAATGCAGAAACCAATGTAAGGGAATGACATACCTTGCAAATAAGTTCCCCTTGAAATCCCCCAGCAACAAGCAAGTTATCTTTCACTGCAAGTGTGCTGACTTGTGTCTGCGTAAATCCTTCTAAAAGGCTTCCAGGATGTTTCTACAATGGAAAAGAAGCAAGAAAATGTGGAAGGTTATAATTGAATGTGTCCTAAACTAAATGTTTGTTAGATTCCATGTCCAAAACACTCACCTCACATGGTGCTACATGCCCTGATACATTGAGAACTTCGTTTTTAGCGCAAGTCAAGGATGACCAATGAATGACGGAGAAATGTGACATAAGGTACACATCATGCTTGGAAGTTGCCCAGACCAAGTTCCTCAGCTATATACACACGACAAAAAACTTTAGAATAGGTTTTGTTCTTGCCAGAAAGCATGATAGCATGCACTTCAATTAAAAGTAGACAATTAACAAACATGCAAATTTAACTGATTTGTTGGCTCAACTAGGGTAACAGTATCATGCAGCACAAAAATTTTGATATAGGTTACAAACACATTACGATTCTTGTCTCTGTCGCTCTGGTATTCAGTCTTTATGCCAGTAAACCCACAAAAATGATATCTTAAAAATGGTGTGAACTTGTTCTCCATATAAGGGCCTAGTCCCTCGCATACAGTGAAGGAAGCTGAATGTAAAGAAAAATGTGACAAGGGCCAGTACCTTACCTGGAAGTGTAAAATTGTTGATTTAACAGATCGTGAATTACGTCTGAATTCATAATATGAATAATCTTTCTTTGTGGCTCTGCATTCCTGTTGACAAGCAAAAAGAAACAAAGACAACAATGTCAGCAATGGGCACAGAGCTGATGAAGTAAGAAAACCACAAACACATTTACCTTCTCTGATGCCTCCCCAGATTGAGGAATATTCTCATAGTTCTTATACTGCTCTAATCTCGTTTGCCTGTATTTCTCCCTGGTTATGCTAAGCCTTTCCCAGGGAATCCCTTGAATGTCTTTGCCTCTCCTTGCCTCAGCAGCAGAGGTATCTTGCATTTTATTATTCTAATCCAGAAACAAACAAACAACATATTGAAGTTTAAAAAATTTACGCACACTCATCACAACAACTGCATAAATCTAACAAGTCCTTGTATAAATAAATGATTTTCAGGGAGGAATTCACAAACCATGTAGTCATACTCATCTACATCTGAATCAGAGCCACCCATGTCTCTGCCGTGGAACTCATCCATATCGTCATCTATATCCTCCATTTCATATTCATCTGCCATGTATTCAGCATCATCTCCCGGTTGGTGGGACATGTTTTATCCCTATTAAATGACCAAAAACAACATTGGTGAAAGTTAAATACACCAGAGTTGAGATAATGTGCAAGGAAATACAAATCCAAATCCAAGTATGGCACCAGACAAGCACACAGCTTTTCAGTAGTAAAGGATCAGTCAACATCCATTTGATGAAAGACGGTTATCTTGTCCTTCTAACATTATGTGATTGTACGAATACAGTGTTGACGCACATTGTGCAATAGAAAAAAAGAGAACAGAAGATAGATGCAAAGAAACAAGGAGGCACGAAACATGCACAACATAGTCTTCTCTCTATCCAGGAATCTAATTAAAAGCAGCTCCTTATCAAACTCAAAGCCAGACATAGGGAAGACTCCAATTTGCATAAAGGATCATAACAAGTAAACTACAATTGCTGAAATAAAATTTTCAACTCTATTTTGATCTGGTTCGAAAAGTAGAGAAGTTGGCCTAAATCACAATAGCAGACTAAAGTCCAATACTTGAAGAATGGTCATGCTTCAAAATTCAACTAATACTAAATAGACTCACAGTAACGAGTTTAGCTTCTATATAAAGATTTCAATCAAATCCGCGCAGAGGGAAAAACGCTAAGTGATTTCTTCCTATCTCCCCCAAGCATTAGTGGTCAGAGTTACTAGAGAGTTACTTGGTACCTAGTGGGAGGTAGCTCTGGTGGAATTAGCCGAGGTGTGCATAAGCTTACCCGAACACCACCGTCATAAAAAAAATGGATTTTGATCAATGAAATAAAGTCAAGTTTTAACATTGATAAGTGAATACAGCTAAGGAAGTCTAAAAGAAAATTAACAAGTATTATTCCCAACATCAGATTTTATTGCCAGCCAAAAAGGAACATTCTGGATTACTAATACGAACGCGCAAAGTACAACAGAGAAAATTGGTCCAGACCGTAAAAGCTAATACGAGTTCACGAAATCCACAATTAATCAAACCCTAAAACTGGCGAGAGCTTGAAGAGTGATACAAGGAGATTAATTATATGCATAATTAATGCCTCAAAGGCGGATGAACACACAAATGAACCCGAATATTTCACAGAGTAAAATTCACATTCGAAAAGGGGGGGAAAGGGAGAAAATTGTTAATTACTATTTACAAACATAAAAATAAGCGTGCAATTGTTCACAAATTTCTGACCTTAAGATAAAAGAGAACGCAGACGAAAGGCAAAATCAAGCTCAGTTTAATATCGATCCGAAATTAGGAAGAAAAAATCAGAGGGTATTATTACACATGAGAATTAGATTATTAGTTAAAGTAAGAAATTAAAGCTGTTTAAGGCCGGTAGATCGTGATAGGTTTGGAAGAGAGAGATAATACGTAATATCTATCTATCTTTATCCACTACTTCTCATGATATGATATGATGGTCCCTACTCCCTACTAAAATGTGCACTGAAACGGACAACTTCGACGTTAAATTTTTGTCAAGTAATTTGCCTAGGTCGGTTACACTGAAGGTAATCCATCGTCCTAAATCAAATACTGCCCCCTCACTGTGCCCTCATTTTAAGACGGTATGTAGTATTTGTTATTTTCGCTGGAATTTTAATATAAGCGTGTACGGTCAAAATCGGGTTTGCCTAATTTTATATGATTGACCGAAATCGGGGTAGAAGATCTAGGCTCAGCCTTGGTTATATCGGGTCATGGTACGCATATGGGTTGGTAAGCTCGTGGATCACTGGCCGATCAAGATCGAGACTAGCCGTGGTCGAGACCGAAGTAAAAAAGAAATCGACTGAGGTCGAAGGAAGCCTGCCAGGTCGAATAACATAAAGCCGAGATATCCGTGATCGGGCAAGGATCGCGGCGGAGATCTCGACACATATCAAGTCATGACCGGTTATTTAGCTCATCATGGGATTTACTTCCGTAATTAGATTTATGCCATAAATAAGATCCATCTACTATATAAAAAGTGGCACAATCATCTTGTAAGGGGACGAACACATTGACTGATTATCAAGCAATATACTACATCATTCTCTCTTATATTCTCTTAAGCTTTACTATTGGAGTTCATACCTTTTCAATAGCATATTCAGTTGATTTAAAGGTGATTTAGCATAAGGGCCACAGTTGTTCATCACATTGGTTTGCTTTATTTAACTGTTAATTTCTACTATTAATTCTTACATCCATCAATTTGTGCCAAGTGAAATCACATATCCTTAAAACCACTTATAGGTTTAATTGTTATCCGATTTTAATGGTAAACAGTTTGGCGCCCACTGTGGGGCTAAGGATAATAGTGATTGTCTGGTACAATTTTCGTCACACACACACACTATTTTACGCTTGTTCTTTGAAGTGTCTTTGATTCCAGGACCAACATGTTAAACTACCAAGTAGCACCCACACAGAGACAACGGCCTTGGTCTTCATGGCGAGAACGAAAACATAGCCGCCCCAGGAAACGGAGTACCCCCAGTCAACCCCGATGGAGTTCCGGCCGTGGACCCAATCGACGATAGCTCCCATATTGCCATTAATGGTAATTTGGGCGTCGATCCTGAAAATAGCGTCCGCAGAGATGCTCGAATAACCGATCAGAACGCACAGAGCGGTGAAGAAGGCGGGATTAGTCTTCGAATAATATTCGAAATGTTGCAGACTCAACAAGCTGCAATAGCACAACTCCAAAATCAGAATTGAGCACCAAGTAGGATCGATCCCAAACCCTCACTAAAAGTTGTTCATAGAGCCGAACCAGTTCCGGAGAGGCCAAATGAGAATGAATCGGGAACCGACCCCGCCATTATGAAGATGGTCGAAGAACTCACAAAACGAATCAAATCGGGGGAGAAAAAGACTGAGGAAAACGATAAAAGGGTAGAAGCGTACAACTCCCGAGTTGATCAAGTTCCGGGGGCATCATCATTATCTTCCAGCTTGGTCGATGGCACTGTCTCTTGAGGCTTTAGAACTTTCCATAGCCCATTCACACCCATCCACATGCGGGTGAAGAATTTATCTCTCTTCTTCTCCCTTTTCTTCATCCTGGTGTGTGCATTTGCCAGTTTGTCATGGGAACTGCTCAATTACCGTGTGTTGTGGCCAAATTAGTCTATGCCTTCTCCAGCTTTTTAAGGTGATCCCCCTGCTTCTTCTAATCATCAAGATACTTTTGAAATTCTTTCTTTGAAATGTATGCAGAGGGTCCCTCAGATGTTTCCCCAGGTCCCTATGGAAGGCCAGCTACTAGGTCGCGAATCTGTCGCATTTCCTCGGAAAGCATAGCACATGGTCCTCCTGCAGAAGATGATGGCTAGCTACCATGGTCTGTCTGAGAAAAAGATCCCAATTTTCTCTTTTTGCTATTGACGGCGCCACCCTCTCCTCTTTCTTCAATGGATTAATAGGCTTTCCCGGCTCTATCCCGTTGTTTCCCGGATCCTCCTGAACCCCAAAAAGTAGGCACAGCTCAGTGATAAGAGATGGAAATATCAATGATGTACCATTCTGAAGCCGATACTCTCTCAGTTCATTGATGAAAATCTCACCAACGTTGAGCTGAATACCATCACTCCTCGTTACTGGTACATTTCATATATTCGACACAGGGGAGATGCGACTACATATGATGGCCAGCCATATCTTTGCTTCAGCAGTGAATACTTTGGACTCGATCCCTCTCTTTTCAGTTGCCTATGGAACATCTGCACCCGGGAATAATTTGGAGACCAACCACTCCCCTCAGGCACAATATTTTGCACGGAATGGGGCCATGTCTTGGTCTTGTAGGTGATAGATTTGGTTCACAGCTTCAGCTCCGAAATGCACCATTTTGTCGCGAATCCTCATCTTTTGCTTTTTTAACCCGATGGCAGGAAGATTCGCATAGAACTCCCTCACCCATTGCTCATTGGTTCTACAAGGTTGAGGGGCAAAATAGATCCATCCCATGTCTACAAGCCTCTGATGGAACTCGGGAAAACATTCCAGGACCTTGTCCAGCACTATACCACTTTCCGGGAGCAACTTCTTCGAAGTCAACTCGGCATAGTACCGCTCCTGACATTCCAATGACAAGAATCATTATTGGTCATAGTTCTTCTCAACTCCCAAAGGATTTTCATGCGCAGATTCATCGAAGTTATAGCTGATTTTCAGCTTACGATACCTGTAAATAAAGTATTGGAGTGAAAACATGGTATGGCTATGAAGTATATTGCAAAATGAGTCAAATATGCCAAAGAAATGATCGGACAATCGAAACCCGTCCTTAGAAAAAATTCTAGGATTTTCACTTCAGCAAAGCCTACTCTCTAATGTCGCAATTGCGATATTTTCTTTGCAATTGCGATGGCAACAGAAAAGCCAAAAGTTTGAAAATGCGACTAATTCTTTGCAATTGCGAAGATGGCCAAAGTTGACAGATTTCACAATTGCGACCACCTCTTCGCAAATGCGAAGAGGCCATCGCAATTGCGGCCTCATCGTCCCCAACAATGGAACAGTCCCAAGATTCAAATAAATTCGAACAAAATCACACTTTTAGATAATCCAATCAGTTTTTAGGCACACAAACATTCAATAAACTTCACACAAAACCACGAGTTGAAGAAATTTCAATGATTCGGCCAAAAATTTCATTCGGGCCTTTCACTCTATGACATAGTAACACACAAAATCGCTTCTATTTTCACAAAGCCATGGGTACTCAGACTTTACCGTTTTTTGAAGCAAAGAAGTAGGCTCACACTCTCAACCAACCTCACCCAGAATCAACATATGATTTGAGCATTTCTTTTAAACAATTTATGACAGAAGAACAGGACCTATTGAAACCTATGTTTTGAGAATTAAAGGAGAGAAGAAGAAGAAGATGATGCTATAAACATAAAGAGCACAAGGATTAAGCCTCCATACCTTGATGCTTGCAATTAGGAGTGAGAATGGTGGAACTTGAGAGTTAGGAGAGTGAGGAAAATGAAGGTTTGAGAGCCCCAATTCTTTTTTAAACTTTTGTTCAAAATGGAATACAGTTACCCGTTTAAGGCCCCTGATGTCGTATTTGCGACCCACCTTTCGCAATTGCGCACTTCAAAAACCTTGCAGAGGTCACAAATGCGACCATTTCTTCAATTTTGCGATGGGCCAAGTTCGCAAATGCGAATACTGAGCTGCTGCAATTTCCAGCTACTGGTTTTTGGCTCTCCGGTCACCCCGACCTGCTCAAATCAACTCAAAAATTCTAAAACTTGGTAGATTAGTCAAAAATAATATTCTAAGCTATTCTAAAAAAGAAAATTTCAAAAATGACTAAAAATTTTGAAAACGATGGGTTGCCTCCCACCAAGCGCCGCATTTAACATCATGGCACAACGCGAATCAAGTTTATCACTTTTCTCGCCACTTGGACGATATGAATTGGGCACCTAACTTGGAATCAAGCTTTTGAACACGAGCAACGGGGTTTGGTAAGTAGATGATCTAGCCAAATGTTAATTTTTTCATTTTGCACTTCTTGGCTTTCATGTGTGGAATGTCATTTTGCCTCCTTATACCTTCAAACTGTAAAATGTATGGCCTTTGTCTTTCCTCCTCGCAGCTCATCATTGACTCGTATAGTTCAATTCCTATATCACCATACAATTCCAATGTTGACAAAAGCTTGGAATGTGACATCAAGCCTCCAAATTGCAATTCTTTCTGGGTTTTGACATCCTCTTGGTCCCCCGAACTAGAGTCATTTTCAATCATATCTTCAAATTTTTTAGTTGACTCTATTTCCATATTTTTCTTGGCATCACTAACAAGCATGGAGTCAGTTGGCGGATGTTCAGTTCTTGATTCCTCAAAGTAAAGCTCACTTTCTTCCTCAAAGTCGGACTCTTCTTGACCTCTTTCCACACTCTCAAGTTGGTGGGCATAGTGAGCCTCAACCAATTTTTCATTCGATCTTCCAAAGTGTGGACATTCTCATTATTTTGAGTCAAGACTTGCTTCAAGTCCTCGAGGGCAAAGTTGCGCTTCTCCTCATTTTCAAGAATGGTCTCCAACATGAGCATTATTTTCTCATTTTGAGCATTTGAGAGTTCTTCTTGATTTTGATTAAGTGCCGAAGAAGGTATTCGGCTTCAACATCTAAGGAAG